ATATATATTTATTTATTTGCCGGATCAAAGAATCAAAATCCTAGTGAATGACAAAAAGAGTTTGAACTCGTGCCACAGTGAATAATATTTTTGATTTATGATCAAAATGAGTGGGTTCACAGAGCAGGAGAACCATTTGCCCTGATTTAACATTAGTTTTACTTCAAGACTGACATAATGTAAAACATCTGCAAACACTGAAATTCAAAAATCTTAAAAAAAAACTGGACTTCTATTCTGTAGCCAAAGAGGTTATGTTTCCCCATTCAAGTAGCTTTTTCAGTTCTTAAACGGAAAATGTGGAGTTTGTCAGGTCAAACCTGTTTGTATAGAATAAAATCCCACTTGCTTTGATTTTTTTAAAAAGCTTTTTGGATTTATCTTGTCCTGAATAACTGGGAATCTACACCAGTAACTGAGCGAAACATTTATTAAGACAGAGCCAAATGGCTTGGTGTATTATGCAGATGAGGAGATGGGGTTTTCGGTGGAGAGTTTCAATCTTGCCTCGAGCACAGGTGCTGTACAACTTTGTTTTAATGTTTTAATATGTAACAAAACTCCTGCTTTCAGTAAATTGACTGCATTTTTATAGAGCTAGGGCTTCCCCAAGTGTGTTGCCCAAAGGCACTTTGGTATGTGGTACACTGGGATGGCACCAACTCTTTGACTAACCTTTCTTGCTTCCTGAGCCACAGCAACACTGTGTAAGTAAGTAAACTTTATTTCTATAGCACCTTTCATAGACACAAACATCACAAAGTGCTTCACAGAAAGCAAAAATAACTAAAAACAATAAAACACATCACAGATGTAAAAAACAATGAAAACACAATAAAAAGCATGTTAACTAAAAGCCTGTCTGAATAAAAATGTCTTAAGATGTTTCTTAAAAGAGTCAGTAGAATCTGAGCAGCGAAGGGACAGAGTGACAGAAAGCTGGGCGTCAGAGAGTGGAACCAAATGAGCAGGCACAGAGACAAAAATGCAAAGTTAAGCGCTCTTTATTTACAGGTGCTTGTGCAGTCATCAGTGCCTGGAAGAGGAGGGAAGAAGGTTTGGTGAGTCCAGGTTCTTGAGGTATATTTCCAAAAAATGTACACAGAAAGAAATAGTCTCTTATGTTTACAGGAAATCCAGGTGACAGGCTGCGTGGCACAGAAGAAGGTCCAACAGGTGGGTTCACAGGAGGCAAGCAGGCAGGGTTTTCAGAGAGAGATTTCCAATGAGTTTCCTTGGTTTCCAGGGACTTGGTGGCAGTGGATCTGTCCTGAACATGAGCCGAGAGACAGGGGATGACCTCCGTGGCACAGCACACACCTCGAGGGAACAAGATACGTCAGCGAGGACTAGTCAGCCAAGAAGCTCTTTTAAAAACCAGCAGCTCTTCAGCAGGAATGATCCACAGGTGCAGTCAGAGGAGTCAGGATCTAATTAACAACTCAAAGGCAGGAACCACCAATCCCAACACAGAGGGAGAGTGTTCCAGAGCCTCGGGGCCACCACCTGAAAAGCTTTGTTTCCAAAGGTTTTATAATGGGTTCGAGGGACCACCAGCAGCATTTGATTAGAAGACCTCAAAGTCCTGGATGGACAGAGAGGCTTCAGAAGGTCCAGTATGTATTTAGGGGCCTGACCATGAAGTGCTCTGAAAGTTAAAACTAAAATTTTAAAATGACTCCTCAAAGTCACAGGRAGCCAGTGCAGAGAGGCTAAAACAGGTGTAATGTGGGCTCTCCTGTGGGTCTTTGTTTATAACCTCGCTGCAGCGTTCTGCACAGACTGAAGCCGAGTCAASGAGGATTTGTTTAGACACGTAAAAAGACTGTTGCAGTAATCTTAACGAGAAGAAATAAAAGTGTGAACAACCATCTCTAGTTCCTTCTGTGACACAAAAGATCTCAGCTTTGAAATGTTCCTTAAATGATAAAAACAGTTACGAACTAAAATTTTACAATGGCTGTCAAAAGACATAGAACTGTCAAAGACAACATCAAAATTTCTGAGACTTTTTTCACTGAAGGGGTTAAAAAAGCAAGGTGCTGCCTGATTAAAGGGATTTTATCATCAGGGGCAATAATAAGAGTTTCAGTCTTGTTTGCATGTAACTGCAGGTAGTTATTGCTCTGCTTTGAATCTGATTAGCAACATCATAATCATGTTATTAGTGGGGCTTTTTGTTTCCAAATTGACTTTCTTTTGTCAGTATGCTCATTTTGGATTGAGATTTACATGGATTCACAGTTAAGGGTTATTTTTTCATTAATATGCAATCACTGGACAAACAACGACAAAAAAAAAAAAAGAATTCCTAATTTTAGTTATGAACCTTACAAATAAATTTGCCTAATTAATCATTTTGCTTGTTGGGATTTCATTACACTTGCTAAAAAGAGTTACTCTTAATCCATTTATTTCTCAACTTCTCTTTTTCTGTTGCAGGGAGCTAATGCCAATCTCCAGCATCGTTGTGCAAGACGTGTAATACAGTACACAACGCTATGACAGTCATTCACACACACACACACACACACCTGGGAGACATCCTGCATGTCTACAGGGTGACAATACAAACTCCAAAAGACCCAGATGGAAGTAAACGTGCAGCCTTATTGCTGTAAGGCAAATGTCTTCACTCACGTTTCCACTTTATCTGTATTTTGAAAATCTGAAAAGCTAATGTTCTGTCAGAAAATGTTCAAAAACTAGACATGTTTTACTCAGTAATAAGAATATTGGAACAAGAATTCATTTTATTACCACTGTAACTGACTCTGGCTGAATGTGTTCATTCCTAAACCAGGACAGCTTTTTCTATGTTTCTACACCAGTAGGTTAGAGAGCCAAAAATACTTTGGAACATGTCAGATTGATCTATGTTCACGCAAAGTATTCAAGAATAAAAGAGTCAAGAGTTCACTGCTTGTTCAACACTTTTAGCTGTGTTTTGTCATAACACCAAAGTAAGCAATCAGAGTAAACAAATTTAAAATTAATTTTCTGATTTTCATCCTCTGGGACGTTGCAACACAATCAATATGCGAGCAGCTTGCAGCCAAGCAGACATATTTTTTTCTGATTTAAAGCCACGGAGAGTGGAAAGGTTTGTTTCTCTGGTGGTCTTTAGGGGTGGGTGCACAAATGTTGGTACCATAAATCTTGGTGGCTGCGGTGACCAGCAGTGAGTGTGTTTAACCCTGGATAAGGTTTATAATTGGAAACACACCTCCCCTCATTGGCCTGCAGGAAGCAGCCCGTCCCTCTCTTTCTGTGTGTGTGTGTGTGTGTGTGTGTGTGTGTGTGTGTGTGTGTGTGTGTGTGTGTGTGTGTGTGTG